CTCGGCAATGCGGAGATCAACGGGGGCTCCAGCGAGCCCCCCAACTACAACACCTGCACGACTTGCCGACAACAGGTCTGCAACATGTGTGGCTTCAACCCCACGCCTCACCTGGTGGAGGTAAGGGGGCTGGTGGGGGTGGGCGCCTTCCGAGCCAAGGGTCCTACTCTCACCTCGCCTGAAGTGGAGAAAAGATGGTGTGTTTTCCTTCAAAGCTGGTAAAAAAGCCTTTAAGAAGCTGCTGAAGGCAGGTCCCTCCTGGGGGAAGCCCCAGGGTTGGAGGTCATGCTCCTCCGCCTCTAGATAAAGCCATGCATTTCATATGTGTACCCTGATTTTTTTTCTGTTTTCATGCAAGGAGTGGAGCAAGGGGTGTCTGTTGTTTGGGGCACCCTCTCGGTGCCCACCACTCCCCAAAGGTGTTCAAGGGGTCCATGAACGGGGTGAGGAAATAGAAATAGGTCATGCAGGTGCCAGAGTCACCAACAAGCATCTTCCTCCTGGTGCTGTGGATGGACGCCTTGGCCAGGCTTGGGAGGAGGCTGAGGAATGATGTCCTGCAGTTCCTGCATCCTCAGATGGTAAGGGTGCAAGGAACGTGGTATGGGGTAGGAAGGCGGCAGGACATCAGCAAGAAGATTTCAAATCAGCTGAGGGCACACAGTGTCCTGTGGAAGTCTGCTGCCCTCTCCAGATGGTAAGGGCCTTGTGCCGTTGTGCCTGGGGGCCAGGCTGGGGAGCGGGCTGAGTGGAGGATGGATGTGGAGACATCCACGGTGTCATTTGGATATGGATTGGCTGGGGGTCATGCAGCCTGATGAGACGAGGCGCAAGAAGAGGAGAAGGAGGCGGAGGTGGTCTGGGGTCCACCCATTCTCACCAACAATAGAATCATAGAATACTAGGTTGGAAGGGACCTCAAGGATCATCTAGTCCAACCTAATAGTCTAGGAGGTCTCTGAATTGTTGCAATGCGCACCCAGATCATCTTCCCAAGCACCAAAAAGGCATCTTAGCCAACTCTAGCTACCAGTGCCTGGAGAGGAGAGGGGAGTGGTGCAACTGGGGCTCAGCTGGAACAGCATCCTACTCCCTCCTCCCCCCTTGCTAGCTAGGGAGAGAGATCTTCCAGACCCCCGGAGAAGACCTCAGTTAAAGTCTAGACCCTCACTCCCTCCTCTACAGGCAATTTGAGAGCATTATGAGAGGACACCCAGGGCTTTCTTCTGGAAGTGCTGCATCTTGCAGCCAGTAAGACACAAACCCGGTATCATCAGCTCATGTTAATGGGAACTTTAAATGACCAGAAGTGGGATTGCTAATCTTGGCTCCGCTCCATGGCAGATAATTACATCTTGTATCCCCAGCTCCTCCCTGCAGTTTCAATTACACCCAGTAATTTTCTCCTTTTTCCGGAAGCTGCTGCTGTGCATGGTCATGTTGGCGGTGGCAGAGAGCCGCTCTCCCAGTGCAGTGCACAGCGTGCATGTGGAGGTGTAAACCCATCAGATGGCCGCCTCCTTGTACATAACGCCCTTCTCGGTTGCAGTGCTCATTGCTTCCTTCCTACCCTGAGGGCTTGGGTGAGAAGAGAAGGTGTCTGAGCTTTGCATAGTCCCTTGGGTAGGGCTGAAGCCCCGTGTTGGCATGCCCTTGGGCAATGATGTGTTTCCAAGCTTCAGAAAGCTCATGGGTTGATGATTTGGCTTTAATGTGCTCCCCTTGCACCCACCTGTTAATTAATTAATTAGAGTATTAATTGGGGTTGGGTTGTACCCAATAACATGGTGCTCTCTGCAGGTACCTCAGAAAGGTGACCTCTCCCCAGCACTTGTCTCCAGGGTCAGTAGCTGACGCCTGGGATTAAATTTCAGATTTTGAAGGCTGGACTCTGCCCAGCTCCCTCAGTTCTTGAGTAAATGCCTTCAGACACCCTTGACAGTCTCACCCTTGCACATATGGCTGTCTTGAGGTTTCTTGCTGCCACTCATCACTGCGATCTCCGCTTGACTTCATGCAGAAGACCCCCAGTGAGGTCCCACCTGGGCTTTGTGGTGTCTTGGGTTTTGCTTCCCTGTACACAGAACCCCTATCCAGCTCGGAACAGATGGGTTGGTTTATGGGATTTGGTTTTTTTAAGAGTTGAGGAATAAATGCAACACTAGAGCTGTGAATGTTCTTAACAAACACTTTCGGTGAAGAGGATTGCAAGATCTGGTAATGCAGTTGGGCTTTTGGTTTGCTTGATCTTCTGAGAAAATTGCTCTGTGGTCTGATCCTCTTTTTGCCTGCAGCTCACATGAGCTTGTCCTGAGCCCTGAGATTCACACACATACCAGAACTTGTGCTTTGAAGTAGCAGGGCTTGATCTGTTAATTGCTTTATGAATTAGGACCTTGACTGTAAACTGCCCTTGGAAGCTGCATGCAAACTAATGAGGAGATTTGAGCCGAGGTTGGGAACACGCAGAGGAGGGTGAGCTGCGGGTGAGACAGGCAGCACCCGCTATACCTGCTGCTGGAACCAGGGCACGGGCTGCCC